GTTTCAAAACAAATTTCATAATTTTATAATATAATGGAATATCAATATACTAGAAAACCAATTGTTTCGTACAATTTAGTATTCCATAATATTTTATCTTCTACCGAAGATACTCATTTGTGCGATAATATTTTCTGCGGGAGTCACGTAAAAAACGATTTTTTAACAATAACATAAGTAAAACCAAGAATATGTACCCACACATATCATAATTTAAATAATTCATTCTCATCAGAAAGTCGAGCTTTTATATCAAATTACCATTCAACTCATTCTCGAATAGCTTGCCTTCGTGTATGTCTGAGCAGACCAGCGGGGCTCAAAGCCTGCATTCGGGTTCAATGGGTTCAATACAATAGCAGGAATTCAGTGTTGGGAAATATCACAATTACTGAAGTTTGCCATACAATTCGAAAAGCTATATAGGAACATTGAAGCTGAAAATGAATTGTGTTCATCAGTTAATTTTTTTACCATAATATTGTTCATCACTTGATTCATGTGAGTGAAATTTTTGGAAATATATCCAAGATTCATCTCTTAATGCGAGTAGTTGATGTTTTTACACTAAAATCTTCGTGTATTTTATGCGGTCGTGAGTCTGCCTTTCAACAGCTCTTCTTCTTCTTGTTTGATATTTTTGACGTCACTCGCATGAGTGACCTACTAATCTGATGGGAGAGATTTAACTGGGTTCTAATTCTAGGAAGAACCCTGAGACTAGCATCGTTGGTTTGATGACAAAGCATTAGTAAGCAAGTTAATGGACATAGATTATGATCGATTTACACGTAAACTTTCAAACCATTACTCTATACACACGAAGTTTCGAGCAAATATTATGGACAACTGAAGCTCAAATCAAAATTACGCAGGAATTTGATGAAAAAACTGCTAATATAAATTCATATTTTTAATGAAACGTTTCAGAGTCCGGTTTCCTCTTCATTTACAAATTTTAATCAATCAAGTGTAATATACATGAATTATTAGCGATTAATAATTGAGCTGTGAATCAATATAATCTTTTATCGATAATTATATCAGTGATAACAATCGGTTTTTATTCTGGTATACCTCTGTTTTATGCCCAGTATAGTCAGAGCTGGGCCGCGCTACTTTGAAATGTAGCGGCGCTACCGCTACCGCTACACCAACTAGATTGTAGCCTGCGCTACCGCTACCGCTACAATAAAATGTAGCGCCGCTACATTAGCCGCTACAATGGCCAAAATTATTGGAAATATTTATACATTTATTGTTCTGCAATTGAGATTTACTCATAAACATTTAATGATAATAAAACATTTTCAAACATATCAATGCAGCTTTATTGCAATTAACCTAACCGAAATAGAACGGATTCGATACAGTAAATAAAGTCATTTATTTTTATGTTCAACCTTCCCTACATGGATGTCTACTCTAACAATCTCAAAAATTATCCACATATACATATAAAAAATCAGTCTTTTATATGAATATAGATGTGGATATTTTTTGAGATTGGTAGATTAAAGTAGACATCCATGTAGGGAAGGTGAAACATAAAAATAACTGTAAGCAAACTGCAGTTAGGTGGCTGATGTCCGTGATGTGGTCGTGGACATGTGGTGGCAGCTGGCACGGAACAAGAACAAGTGGTAACTGGTAATAACTTAACAACTAACAACTTAACATGTTGACACTAGTAACAGGCTGAGGTTGACAACATTACACCGAAATCTTTCGTACAGTTTTATTCTGTAATTTATATTATGTATGTGTCATGCTGGTTTTTAAATTATATTTAATACTATTAAGTAAAATCAAAAGGCTCTATCTATAAAAGTAGCGGTAGCGCTGTAGCGGCAAAACCTCGTACCGCTACTTAAATATGTAGCGGGTGCTGCCGCTACCGCTACAATTGCTTAAATGTATCGCCGCTACCGCTACATGTAGCGCGCTACTGCCCACCTCTGAGTATAGTATATTAATATAGTAAGTAACGAGAAAGCAATAGGAAAAGTTCCAGATTAATTTCTTCACTAATTCCTTCTTCCATTAGCTAATTTGCTCAATAACCTCTTTATTTAATTAATTCATAATAATTTAATCGTAACAGTTGCTCACACCTAACTTATTTCATTTTTTAAATGATGATGGAGCTGATTTATAAAGCCTTTTCAATTAAAATATGGTGAAGTTTTCTCTACTGTTAACCTCTCAAATAAGAAATTTAAACATCGTTCGACGTTAATGTTTGTTTGAATCTGCCTTCGTTTGCTACTTATCTTTCCAGTAATTTTGTGCTCCAGCTATTATACAATGATACATATAAGACTTGCTTCATACGAATATCTATTCCTTTTTAATATGTCGCTCCTGCAAGGGACATAAAATTTAAAGTAGAACTTAATCAACAAATATAATAGAGGAAAGACTTTCTCCTAAATATTTAGTAAGATAACCATGCACAGCCAGCAAAATTTTACATAGTTTTCTGTGAAAGTAATAAAGTTTATGACTTTATGCCGTTCGTTTCCCATGCATGAACGGATAAACAGATATATCGTCAACTCTGTAGTGAAAACACATTTGACACTATAAATTTTGAACAAATTTCATTGTACCATGCTATTTAGCTCCGAAATTTGTACGATAGTAATAAGTCATATTTATTAACGAACTATACCAACCTTAATATTTCAGAACATTCATCCGCAGCTTCGGATCTGTATACGTAGCTCCGGCATTGCTAGCTTGCTCATAAAATTACGCTCCGTTCCATCTAATAATATTCGAAAAGAATAAAACTTTGAAAATATCACATGTGAAATCATGAGTGAATTTCTTGCTACTCATACATATTTGACCATTCGACAATGCATCAGTTTTTACCAAAGATACACATCACTCTCTTGCAATTTTCAAGTAGTGCGTTGAAAAACATAGTCATTGCATTAATGAACTAAGCTAAACTGCAAAGAATGTGAGAATCTCGGGTTAGAACGTGATGTTCGTATTGGTTAATTATCATGCTTATATAGGAAGGTGTAGGTTTTCGGGGAATTTCTTCGCGTAAAGCCAATGCACCGCGCAGTTTGCTGGGATAAATGTAAATCTTATCACTTCGCGCAGACGGTCGTGCAGAGGGATGCGCGCAGCTCAGCCGTCGGCCACAAATTTAACTCTTAAACCAGCCTTTAAGTAAATGCTCTGCTAAAACATGCATGCGTTGGGGCATAAAGGCTGTGAAAAATACACAGGCTTGATTAGTGGCTGCTGGCTTACGGCACCTATGGCTCCAAGCACATAAGTTAAAAACTGCAAATACTAATCTACTCAGTAGCATGCTTGCTCACGGGCAGGAACATGAGAGTGATTGTGACATTGGGCAATGCTGGCCTATAATATGCAACCCCTACAAACATCCCGAGCCTCATACAGGGCACTGGTAGGCTCTTTTCGGTGAGTGCAGGGTATACTCGTGTGAGGTCCTCACCGCGGACTGCCAAATTTTTCTTCATATTAATATATTATAGTAATACAGATTAATAACTTGTATGAATATTTCAATATTGATAAATGTGTCCGAGCTTTACAACGCTGTACTCTCATCGTTACAGTGCGTGCCAGTTTCGTCACTACTTCTGGCATTAAACATCACTCACGTCGATACCGTCATCCTAGATGTGGAGCGAGTCGAAGAGAAAATATTATTCTACTTTCCGTTTGAGAAAATAAGCGTGGATGTTTGGGCTGTAGAACACGTGACCGGCTACGAAGACCAGAGTTTCATTCGTTTCATGATCAGCAAAGGTTACTACTATTTCGACGCGCTGTGTGCCGAGGTGCCAGACTTTATTTTTGTCCGAAAGGGGAGTGAAATTTTTGAGTCTTTACAAGTGCCAATGGAGTCAACGAACGGAAAGGTGGGAAAGGGGGGCGGGTGGGGGAGTTCTTCAAGTTATTAGATAGGAAGTAATTAGCTGCCCAGCACTACAAATACAGTGTTTTTATGAGGTGTAGCTCAGTGTGCCTCCGGCCGGGCGTTGTACGGGGAGATGCGCATGTAGTCGCTCCCACCATCCTTGAGTGAAATCAAGCTCCAGAAACGTTTAGTTTGGTATCTATGCTCTATTGAGCGCCTATTGCGGTGCGCGCGGGACTTTGTCGCGCTCTCCTAAACATTCACACTTAATGTCACGTCAAACACATCTCCTCCTAGAGTTTTGAAGCTGCAGCGATGAGAGATACACCATTCGATTCGTAACTAAATTATCTAAAAATTCCCCGATCATTTTTTTGCGATTTCGTTATAGTTTGAATTATATATTGGAAAAAGGGGGGGGGAGGGGAAATTTGAGAAATATTTCTAAATTTTTGGAGAATACCCCCTCCTTCCCGAACAAATTCGAAATTGGAAAACATGATCGGGCGAATTTTAGATATGGTCTTTGCGCATCGAATGATATGTGTCTCGATGTCGTAGCATGTATACTGCACGAAAAGTAGGATTTATACAGTACCACCTTTTTAATCAGTTTTCTGTTAATTCACGTTTTATTTCATTTTTTCGAAAAATTCACACGAACAAAAAAGTCTTAGAACTCTGTTTTACATATGTGCACCAAGTTTCATAATGATCCGTCCGTAAACAAAAAAGTTTCGTTTCGACAGGCATGCTCCCCTTAACCTGCTACCGTGATTGCTACCTTACATAGCAAATAAGACGACGTCAGATGCCCGAGATCTGCGCTGTGGCGTAAACGAACTGTGTCCGTAGAACTATTTTCATGATAATAGTATCGATATCAGCTTTAAAAATAAATTAAGATTGAACCCGAAACCTAATCAGCATTTTTCGTCAAAAAATTTTTTATTCATGTTTCCATGATTAACAATATAAAAATGTAGTTTCTTCACTTAAATAATCAGACACACTTTCATATAATCGAAGGCGTACGCACAGAGCGTGACTGGATTTGCTCTGTCAAGAAGGGATGAAAACGAGCGTGTATATTTTAAGCTACCATAAATGTATTAAGCGAAAAATAGGTATTATTTAATATACATTGCAATGTCATCACAGATATCATGGAATGGATTATACTGGTCCTTGCAGATTATTCAGTCGCAACATGTCGAAGTTTAACGACAAGCGCTTTCATATTTAACTACTTATTGGGGATGATGCTATACTCAGTACTGTAGATGTACGCTACCACACCGACAGTTGATGGAAAATTAGATTAAGAAAAAAAACACAACAATACTAATAGGTGAATAAACGCTGCCGGTGGGAAAAATAATTTCAAATCTTCAACATATTTGCCATCAAATATTTCGTATTTCCCCACTTAGGAGTAAATCTGCATAGCGATATCCGCGAACAGGATATTATTTCTTTAACATAGATTGGTAAGATTTCGTTAGCAAATATCTTATCTTTTCTTGTATAAGACGGATTAAAAAGTCGTTAAAAAGTAATTCATCCAAATTCTAAAAAGAAGTCTCAAAAGGAACTGATTAATTTGAGACATGGAATCTTGTTCTTTAATTTTCTGCCAAATTAAATGTGTTGGTCTATAGGCGAGTTGGGTGTTCACAAACATATGAAAGCTAACAAATGATATATAATATCATTTATATGCAGTAAATGATTTTACTGAGCTCGCAGTAACGTGGTTCTCAACTTCTCACGATAAATGATCGCTGTGAAAACGTACGAGTGAGATGATGATTATTGGTAAGGGAATATTTAAACTTTCGGGCGCGGGAAAGGCTCCTACGTGGGGTGATTGTTGAAAAAGCATGATTTAGTTGGAGTTCAGAGAAACATGGGTAATGGCACAGTGAGCAATGATGAAGTTCCTTTTTCGAATGTTTGGACGGTACAAATGCTTTTTAGTAGTAATTTGAGCATATATATTCGAGAATAATCGCACTTGGTTCACTGATAATATCTCTTTGATAAATGCATATCAAGAATGTGCCTTTTCATATTGTATTTGTCTTTACAACTGAACTTACACATTGAGCACTTGATAGGTTTCAGTGCTGAATGCTTATGGCGAACGTGACTTTTCAAGTTTGCTTTAGTGGCACTCGAATATTCACACTCCGTGCAGCGGTAAGGTCTCTCTTCTGAATGCTTATGGCGAACGTGACTTTTCAAGTTTGATTGTGAGGCACCCGAATATTCACACTCCGTGCAGCGGTAAGGTCTCTCTTCTGAATGCTTTTGGCGAACGTGACTTTGCAAGTTTACTTTTGTGGCACTCGAATATTCGCACTCCGTGCAGCGGTGAGGTCTTTCTCCTGAATGCTTATGGCGAACGTGACTTTTCAAGTTTCCTTTTGTGGCACTCGAATATTCACACTCCGAGCAGCGATAAGGTCTTTCTTTTGAATGCTTATGGCGAACGTGACTTTTCAAGTTTGATTGTGAGGCACTCGAATATTCACACTTCGTGCAACGGTAAGGCCTCTCTTCTGAATGCTTATGGCGAACGTGTAGACTCAATTCCCATTTTGTGACAAATTTTGATTCACACTTCGCGCAGTGAAACGGTCTCTCCGTGGAATGCTTACGGATAAAGTGATTATGCAAACGTATTTTTCTTGTAAATGCTGATTCACACTTGACGCAAGGAAATGGTCTCTTCGTGGGTTGTTTATGGAGAAGGTGACGATTCAACTGACGTTTTCCAACACATGAATATTCACACTGCGCGCATTGTACTTTCTTCGTCTCGGGATGTTTAGGAAGAACGTTGGTTTTTAGTTTTCTTGTTTTCGCACACGAACTTTTTGATCTGCAGTTGTTTATCATTTCGCGCGACTGTGCGCCACTGTTACTTGGCTGAACCCGAAGCTGTATGTTCCGTGAGACTGAATGCTGCAGGTCAGGTGCTGCAGCTGAATGTTCCGTGAGACTGTGCTGCTGCAGGTCAGGTGCTGCAGCAGAATGTTCCGTGAGACTGTGCTGCTGCAGGTCAGGTGCTGCAGCTGAATGTTCCGTGAGACTGTGCTGCTGCAGGTCAGGTGATGCAGCAGAATGTTCCGTGAGACTGTGCTGCTGCAGGCCAGGTGCTGCAGCAGCACATTCGGTGCGTGGCTCGTAGCTGGACGATCCAGGAACGTCTTCTCTGTCACCAGCTTCATCTGGAGCTCCTGCAGGTGTGTGCGATGCCCCACGGCTGTGCTGGTATAACAGAGACAACAATGAATTCTACTTATAGAGAAAAAATTCAAATAAGGAGGATGCGTATATTACCACTATTTCTGGTGCTTAGTTAGTGAGCCTCCAATTAAATGAAGTAAGGGTCACAGAAAGGACCATACTTCCATAAATGAGTTTCATATTACCAAAACGCTTAATTATTATGGTAAAGGCAGTTATGTTAACAGAGAGATCCAACATAACTATTGGCTCAGGTTCTACATTTGACGCTAAGAAAAAAATTTATTTGAAGTCTTTTTATACGACATTTCGTTTGAAGTCACGCGTCTTTTTATTTGATAGCATGAAGGCACGTTGGTTTTATTCATTTAACGAGTACCATCAGTTTATACTACCATGATATTATAAAAACGTAAAAGCGTTTAGTGTTGCAAGTTTTGGCAGTGTGGGTCAGTAGTGACTGAAAAGCGTGACATAAGCACTACAGGTACTCGTATTGGGTTAAGGCACACACTTAATTGTTCAGAACACAGTTAAGTGTATGCCTCCGCTACCAACAACAGTTCATTTGAGGTATGGCAGCACAGCAGCAGGAGGGGAATCTTACTCAGGAAAAGCTCTCCCTGTGGGACTGATTTGACGACCGCATTCACTTATGCCGTACATCAGAAGGCAGACCATGATCGTCTCTGATAAAATATGAACAACTTTTACAGTGTCTCTATCAGACGAAAAACTAGTGCGTGGGTATGATTATTAGCATTAAATTTAGGGCAGGATAAATTTTCGTCTAATGTGTTGTTCAACATATATTTTACCTCTTACTATTTACCTGTTTCTTCTTCTGAGGCTCGTATCCAATCTCATTGTTTGACTTCTCCGAATTCTCTACTGAACCTCCGAGGTCTGGGGATGGGACACCATCTTCCATATCTGAACAACAAAAAAATGAATCAAAGGTTCACTTCACAGAATTTAAACACTAAAGCAAAGTACATGAAAAAAGAGTATTGTCATGATCTCAATTCCGCTATATGTTTAGGAATTAGGAGTGATGACATGATGAAACATATATATCAAACATTAAATCTACGCATCTATGCACGTCTCTGTGTCTTTCGTAATTGTAATGATATCAAACATTAATCTGTTTATTTTACGCGTAATTAATGTTTTAATTCAGTCCCCTTACCCTCATTTTGCCGTTAAATATGATGGAAAAATACTAATACAATACAATTACAATGCAATACAAATAAAACCAAGCCCATCATGCAAGGAAACAAAGCTAAGTCAATTTCCTAGCTGTGTCAAACTTGTAATTTTCTGAAACTTTTCTTCATTATTCAAATTATAAATTTGTCCACGAATTATGTTCCATCCAGAGGAACCACGGGCGATGCAGCACAATGTCTTCCCATCAATCCAACAAATTACGGGCCACACAAAGTTTCTTGCCGCGCACGTTCCTCAAGATCTGTCGGGAGCCGCGAGATCATCACACGACTATTTATTTTATAGTATGGAGGCACGTTGGTTTTATTCATTTAACGAGTACCATCAGTTTATTCTACCGTGAAGTCATAACAACGTAAAAGCGTTTAGTGTTGCAAGTTTTGGCAGCGTGGGTCAGTAGGGAACTGAAAAGCGTGACATAAGCACTACAGGTACTCGTATTGGGTTAAGGCACACACTTAAATTATTGTTCACAACACAGTTAAGTGTATGCCTGTGGGACTGATTCGACGACCGCATACACTTATGCCGTACATAAAAGGCAGACCATGATCGTCTCTGATAAAATATGAAAATCTTTTACAGTGTCTATCAGACGGAAAACTAGTACGTGGGTATGATTATTAGCATAAAAAGTTAAGGCAGGATAAATTTTCGTCTATTGAGTTGTTCAACATGTATTTTACCAGTTACTATTTACCTGTTTCTTCTTCTGAGACTCGTATCCAATCTCATGGTCTGACTTCTTCGAGTTCTCTACTGAACCTCCGAGGTCTGGGGATGGGACACCATCTTCCATATCTGAACAAAAAAAATGAATCAAAGTTTCACTTCACAGAATTCGAACACTTAAGCAAACTACATGAAAAGCGAGTATTGTCATGATCTCTGTCTCGAATAAATGTCTCATCCTTACTGTCGAATTTCCTAGTCCTCCTGCGAAGGTAGAATATGTGCTATAGAGAGGAAGAGTATATGTTTTCAAGTTACAAAATGTTTATAAATCACCCATTCGTGTCACTTCCCAATTAAGGGTACGTACACAGTGAAAGCAGGTTTGCCCGCGCGGGCAACCTGCTCCAACCTGCCACATGAATGAACATAGGATAATAATGTAAGTGTTCACAGTGAAAACCTGTACGAATAGACTTCTGTCGACAACCTGCTTATACTTATTTACCGGAATGTACTGCACATTCTTATCTGCTCAACCTGCTTGGCATATGGTCATTTTTGAAGAAGTTGTACCTTTAAACCATCCATTTCGAAAAATTGACACGAACAAAAAAGTCTTAGAATTCTGTTTGACATAGGTGTACCAAGTTTCAAAGTGATCCGTCCGTAATTAAAAAAAAAGTTTTTTTTCACCACATAGACGCTCCCCTTAAAAGTTAGCATTTTTGCCTGAAGAACGGCAGTACCATAAACCCTTTCAATTTCAGCTGGTTTCCTGCTTCCTCTGTGAACCTCTCGCGCTTGTTTCAGGCGCCAGCCTCAGCAAGTAACCAGCACGCTGGCAACCTGCTTTCACTGTGTACGTATCCTAAGTCATCATTAAAATGCGTTGCTCACCTCCTGTCATCGCAATGGATGTCAGGACGTAATAAGATTTTATTTTCTACTATGATATAGCATAAATAAGCTTATTATTTTGACTGCTTCAAATTAAATGTTTCCGCAAACCATGCGTTGAAAAAATATATATACCCGTTACACACAATTATTAGTCTCAGAAAACATAATCAAGCTCGTTTGCATATATAGCGTAGTCGCGAAGTTCATATTTGTTGCCGGAAATTCCGAAACCTTGATGAAAAGTTCTAAACGACGGCCGATGAAGGCTCTAAGATAATAGATAATAATATTACGACATCATTTTCATTTATACTTTCCCAAGCCTTAAATACTAATGCAGCCACGCATCTTTTTATCAATAGCTGCAGTTTTGGACACCTGTACCACTTTCATAATTTTTCACGCCAAATAATTAATTCCGGATTGAGTGTTTGTCTAGTCAGCAGTTTTATTTGAAATTTGTAATTCTTACTCTATTTGTAGAATAAATTTAGATAGCCAAAACTTAGGCGTTCTCAGAGGAATATTAGGATTGTTCAGCCACTACCACGATTCCAGATGTGGCGACCACATCTGGAAAATAGATGTGGTCAACCACATCGTCGACCACATATCTCTGCTATGTCAACCCAGTTACAAATTCTACCTAACCATCAAAATTGTTCGTGCAAAGCTCGAAACTTCATCTGCTCTGTAACCACACTTTACCTGGCAAGGAGGGCGCCATTTTCCATTTTGGAAGGAAAGGCATCTTCTGTTGCACTAACAATTATTTTGCTGGGAGACGGTATTTACACCACACGGATAAGCTGAGTGCTTCGAAAACAAAGACTGAAATACCAGAAAAATTATTATGGATTACATCAATGATTTTTCACAATTAACCACAGCCCGAAGCGTCTCTACAGCCGACGATAGTGACGTGCGTGTGACGTCATAAAATGTTCCACTCACGACACATATAACGATGGGGAAAGCGGCCCTGGCCTAATGACTATAGNTACGTTCACTTAGCCAGGTTTGAAAGTATGCCCCCTGGTAATGATCTAATGCGCAAAAACAGTTCATGTCAGTCAGGAGCATCAGTCGATCAATTTCTCACGAATAATCTTTACCAAAGTAATTGACGCAAGTTCTCGTATGTCCACTTTTATCTTATTGGGGCGGCGGGAACTTTAAATAATAATTCCGATTTACTCGTCATCTCTCATTTCTTAGATCTGCAGGATTAGCAAAAGTGCACATATTGCTGAGTGACCTCAGATCGGTTCATATATATGGACCGATTTCTAATCGATGCTGTATATAGTTTTTCGCTTGATAACTTAAAAACGTTCGTTAAAATATGACATATGGAGACAATTATGTTATATCTAACTTACATAGACTGCAAATAAATTTGAAACTTAGCATCAACAATTATAAATTGGAATTATTAATGACTCATACCAGATGTATTATAATTTTCCACATTCTACTCCTAAATTTTGATGCCTCACTAATTCGTCCCGACATTTAAGCAGATGTGACACGACACATCTCTGTGATCGATAGGCTTAGCGCAGCTACCAATTTCAAGCAGGAAGGTTATCCCAATAGAACAATTTCGACCAACGATTTTACGAAATGTGCCAGAAAAACCAAATGGAAATTACGACAATTCCATAATCTCTGAAATCAATGTCGTGTCTCTTCAAATACCATCATCTTCCATGCAGTCCTTACGTCTCGTTCGATTTGAGAATTGCCCCTTAGTACCCCGAACAGCCTGGCTGTGAACAATTGGCCGCGATTTTAATGTTAATGAACAAAGTTACTAATTATCTAATTTAATTAATTTTGATCATATTGCATAATAATTAATCACACAGAAAATTAAGATTTAGTTCGTTAAATAAACACACATATTAAGTTTAATACCATAAGAAAAATATTAAATTGCCTTACTTTAAACAAAATGTTGATAACCAGGGAATGCAGGACCGGGCAACACGTCTCTCTGCTACGTCAATCAATGCACTAACTTATGTGCTATTATTGCCTTATGCTGTTGTTCAATATTAAATTTTAATACATAAAATAATGGACGTGTCCTTCTGTTCCTTATGCCCCATTTTACCGCACTTTCTCCTATATAATATTGACATGGCCAAACTTGCAAATAAATTTCATAACAAATATTATTAAAAATCACGAATAATGCCATAAAATTTCAATCTTTGGTTCAAAACCTATACTCAATGATTGGAAATATGGACGTATGTAGCGAGGCCTAAATTTAGGCCTCTTGCAAGTAGGAATTTATCTGAACACTTTTTAAATTTTTTATAGTGCATGAAAACATTTCAAGTGAACACCAAGCATTTGCATCGTGTGGTGGATGCACATGGTTCGGATTAATCCTAAGGCCGGTCCACACGCTCAGTTTTCACAACGATTTGTCTGCGCAGTTGAAGTCGCAATGAAATCGTTGAAATTTTTAGAGCGTCCACACGGTACCGACTTATCGGAGTAGTTTGCTCAGTTTTGCGCGATCTCGCCATGGAGACGTCTCGGACAAATTTACGGCCGGTCTCCCCAAATTCGGTGAGCATGGAATATCTCCCGAAGTAATGAACGTAGCTCGATAAAACTTGGTGCACGTATTCATTAGGACTTCACGGTGATGTTTAGCTCGTGGACATTTTTAGAATTTCACCTTCATTCGTGAGTTATATGGCGATACGTGCCGAAATTTGCAGTGAGCATGACATTTCTTCATAACTATTCTGTATAGATTTGAACGAAACTTTGAATATATAAACCTAATCTCCCAACGGCGATGTTTAGCTAGTGACAATTTTTTTAGATCAGATAAAGCCGTATAACTCGCAAACGAAGGCAAAATCGAAAAAATTGTCTCGTGCTAAACATTACCGATAAGTCCTAATGAATACGTCTACCAATGTTTTATCGAGCTACGTTCATTACTTAGGGAGATATTCCATGCACATCGAATTTGGGGAGACCGGCCGCGAGTCCGGCCGTAAATTTGTCCAAAACGAGCCACAGAGAAGGCAGTATTTCCTATTTTGATAAATTTTGGCATTGTGCCTTGTTAAAAAAGATTGGATCATTTATGGAATGCGAGGAATCAAAATGCAAGAGAGATGGCTTGTAGATGTCTTTTTCTCCAGGTCCAGATGGAATCGATTTTTTTATTTATTCCCAATTATTTACGGTAAATGCTCCTCAACTTGTTTTACAGCCGTTTCTCTGTTTGCGCTTTCATCGATTTATTTTTTAATTTTTCTACTAAGCCCTTGTATGTCTCCATCTTTTTTGTGCCTGTCACTATAGTCATTGAAATTTACTCGCCAAATGAAAGAAAAATTTTCGTATAAAAGAGCAATAAATTCCCGAAAACATTACCGAAGTTCCGCCATTGTCGCCAGAATCATTGGAACTGAGCACAAATCGAAAACTGTGCTACCGTCTACACGTTCCGACTAGTCTGCGCAGTTCATCGAAATCTGTGCTCTGGAGCTCAGATTTCGATGGAACTGCGCAGTTTTCCCGCCGGTTCCAAGACTGCGCAGTTTTCCCGTCCACACGCAACGTTTTATCTGCAACGATTGGAACTGCGCAGACAAATCGTTGTGTAAAACTGAGCGTGTGGACCGGGCTTAACGGTTCAGTTCCTTTGTCTTGAAACACTCCAACTTGTTTACCTAAGAAAATCTCTCAGCGTCTACTTTCACTTAGTTTCATATTAAATGATGATAATTTATACAGATGTGCTTCATAAGCTTTTTCTGATATACAAAAACGGAATGCACGTTAAAATCAAATCATTAACTTTCGTTCATTCTTCGAGAACATTTACCTACCATTCACGAATTAAACGCTCAAAACTTGGAGAACCTAACTATAGTCCACGCTTAACCCTCTGCCTATAGCAGTCAAAACAAATACTTTAATTTGTTCTCATTTCGATCGACCAACGTCGTCAGAATATTTTATTTTCGGTTTTTGTTATGGCGTTGGGAAAATATTTCATATAAGGAATATCCAGTGCGTGGCTTGTTTAATTACAATTCCATTCCCAATAAATAGAATGGAATTCCCTATGAACATTCTTCAAATTTGTCATCAGTGGAGTAATGGGGCGAAGTAAATGTTTAAAAGCTTACAATAAGTCAACTCACGAATGCTGTAATGGGTAAAGAAATATCTGTCCATTAAGCATATTTTATTCATTAGTTGAATAATTTGGAAACCATCTTTTCTATAAGATTCTTCATGAAATAGCAGGAAATGATGGAACCAAGATGCGGAAGACTATAGCCTCGAGGTCATATTTCAAACACTGTATTTTATACGGAATTTTACGAATTGCGGCCCTGTAACCTACGTATGGTGTCATAATATAATGGTGATATTATCATATCTGGAGCCTCATCATCGCTCAAACATTCAGCAGGTTTGAGAGAGGTTCTCTTATTAGGCATCTGACAAGCCCAAAAGTAAAAAAAAATCACATGCGTAAAACATTAAATTGTGAGCAAACCTTGAACCATTCAATCATGACTGTCTTTTATTATCAGAAAAAGCACACGCACCCACTCGCTCATAGTTCACATTCGAAGAATCAACGAAAATTGCGAGAAAAAAACAATCATTAATTAAATATTTGATTACATTGAAATTCGGTCCAAAAATGTCCAGTGTTAGGCTCCTGCTGGTAGAACAAATTGTCAAGATTAGAACAACAATCTAAGATTATTTTGTCAGGAAGCGCAAAGTTATTATAGATTTCTGTCGGAAGAATTATTCACCAAACCGTACATAGCACCGAATAAGATTTTCCAAACAAAACCTATAGAACAACTTGACTGAATTACGCCTATTAATTTTTTGTTCAAAAACAAAGGTTCTGAAGTTAGCTAGATATTGATCAACTTGGAATCGTTCAGTTTAATGAAAATTCCCCATTTGAAAGTTCGATTCCTTTGCCTGGGAACCACAAAAACTCATATATCCCTAAAATATGCCTGATTAGGTATAATCATGATCAATATAATGGTATTCTATTGAATGAAGGCAGAATATCAGGATTTTCAAATAGTAGAGACTATCCATCCGGGCAACGTCCTGTCAATTAACTACCAATTCTAAAGTACTAGCAAAGGATGAGTCATTTGATTCATATTGAAATAAAGCATTCTTCAGTTTTCGAAGCAGATCAGATTCACGCTGCTGATGACGCCCTTTAATTTGTGCAAAATTTAATTTTTACACAGGTTGAACTTTTCTCATTCATTCTACAGTAAACCCTTGTTTATGACTGCAATTTATGATTCATTTTTTTCACAGAGATAATTCTTGGAGTTCACGTAACCACCAAAAAGCAATATCGGTGGTTTTCTTTGGTCAGTCATGACCATAGGGACAAGATTGATAAAAAAGATTCAAGATAGATAGATAGAATTGCATAGATAAAATTCAAGAATGAGAGGGCTCATTAAGTTACTGCTTATATAATTTGTGGTATGCGATATGTTCAATGCAATGTCTCAGCACTGCACAATAATAACTCAAAAGTTGGTTCGTTTTTCCGATAACTCTTGGAATTGGGATGATTGAATCAATTTCCACTTGTGTTCTAAACCGATCTTGGGCCCCTAAAAATTCCTTAATATGTCACCACTTTCTAATACTTGACTGATGGTCGAGGAGGATATTTTATGCTCTGTGTTTATTTTAACTAATTTTCGGAGCTAGTCTCCTCTATCTTACACTCGCTTGGTGATCCTGACTATCAGTGGCAACACAAATTGTCGGTACATAATTAGCGTCCCATACTCACCAAGTCCTATTGGAATACATAATTAGCGTCCCATACTCACCAAGTCCTATTGGAATACATAATTAGTGTCCCATACTCACCAAGTCCTATTGGAATACATAATTAGCGTCCCATACTCACCAAGTCCTA